TATTCAGAAAGAATAAACCAGTTTTATTTAAGAAAAGACTTGTATCAGTAAAGTTTCTTCGGGAAGAAATTATACGGAAAATTAACTAACGAACGGAGGCGTAACAGTATTACAGCTGAGATTCTTAGCACTTGTACAACATTTAGCCCGAAGTTGTAAACTTAAGTTGACATTTGAAAGTGCTTTGATGTTGTTTTTAATCTTGTTGAAACTATTGTGTGCTAAGCTGTCACTGTTTATGCATTATATATGTATTAATAGACGTCTAAGTAGTTTGTAACATAACACTTATATAAAAAAAAACATCTAAAATCATTCTTAAAAGTACAAAAACAAAACAAAAAACGATAAGTTCAGGGACAGGAAGTGTTTAAGAACTAGAATGACCTGTAATTATACCAGCTGTACGCACTTCTCTATCTTAAGATTAACCACAGTCAACTGTTCATTGTTTAACCTACATAGTTTTATGTACAGTCCTTCTCTATCTTAAGATTAACCACAGTCAACTGTTCATTGTTTGACCTACATAGTTTTTGTTAGTAGTATACAAAGGGTTCAGTGTGTCATATTGCAGAAAAACGTCAGCAATAAAGTTTACTATTGTTACGTATCTCTTTGTTTGTTAACTTTCGATAGAAATTCTTTCCGAGGAACTTCAGAAATACAAGTTATTTCTTGATTAAACCAGATTATTCTTTCTCTATACAATCTTTTAGTATACAGTAATTCCACAGTCAGTACGCTTCTCGTCACAATGAACTTAACAACTTTATAATACACGCTATAAATCACAGCGATTCACAACCTCGATAACGTCGCTCTCTACGATTGGAAAACATACACTAGCTCGAAACAGAATCGTAAATTACCCGAACTTACTGTAACTACTGTTCGCTTTTTCATCCACTTGATTTTTCCTGCCAGGTTTATATATTAACGAATAGGCATCTCTAAAATTCGCGGACTTCCCAGATAATTTGAGATACTCAGTCACGCATGCGCAAGCAGCGTCACGTGACTTCCGCTGATGTAACACTATACATCATAAAGACAAATGAGTGTGGTTTTTTATAGTAAACTCAATACAAACAGGTAACTAATGAATACAAAGATCAATGTAATGTTTGTTCTTGCACAGAATCATGAACATCAAAAGTATTTTTTTGAACAAAGTTAAACTTTTATTTTCATTACAAAAGTTATTACAAAGACAATTTTTTGGAGAGCACCAATTATTCTAAAACTTTTATTAACAGCAGCATTAAACATAAGGACCACACAGCTATTTTCTGAATGCCACAAAATTTATTCTAACAAGTAAAATAACTTCTAAATATTCTCAAAACCACACATGTAAAAGAAAACACTATTTACACAAACCTGTGTGACTAGAGATCAAAAATTGGATGGAAATGAAATTTTAGATCTGGCACATAGTTTGTTATGTCAGTGCCAAATAAAATTCATTAATTTTTGTGACATTTTGTTACAATGTTCAATTTAAATATTTCTATCGCAAATTTCTAACTATCTTTAATTTAGTAGAAACATATTTTCATATCCACAAAAAAAGATATAACTGTTCCACCGGTATCGTAATTACCGTCTGAAGTTAAACAGAAGCAACATTTATTTTCAGATCCTTTTCTCATAAATTTGACAAACAAAGAATAGTCAGTCCAATGATACTGTCGGTCTTAACACTGTAATTTAAGTGCTGAAAGCATTAATAAATACAAACAGGATGATGCACCTGAAGAGACTATAAAAACAAACAAATTATGATTTCCAATCAGAGTGTAAAACATTCTATAGATTTCTAAGAAGGAAGTTTTTATGGAAGTGTAAGCTGATAAATACTTAAAATGATGCTTTTCAAACCTCTACCAACATTGTGGACTTAGTTCTTATGGTAAATGTTCTTCCAGTACAAAATATCTTATCTACGGAAAACTGACAAATCATGCAAACTGCTGTTTATCGAACACAGAAAGTTTAATTATCCAGTAACCTTCAGTTCTGTAGTTTATTACTTTATCAACTAAAGCACATTGTGGTGTACGCTCAGTAAAACTACACAAGTCAAACAAACGGCCGACATTGGTACACTTGAGATAGAGAAGGACTGTACACAAACCTATGTAGGTTAAACAATGAACAGTTGACTGTGGTTAATCTTAAGATAGAGAAGGACTGTACATAAAACTATGTAGGTCAAACAATGAACAGTTGACTGTGGTTAATCTTAAGATAGAGAAGGACTGTACATAAAACTATGTAGGTCAAACAATGAACAGTTGACTGTGGTTAATCTTAAGATAGAGAAGGACTGTACATAAAAGATAAGATGTGATGACATTAAAACCCCACGACTAAAGAATTAGGAAAATGACTCTCAGTAATCTTTCGGTAAAAGTAGATTTTTTTTTTGCTTAAGTTTTTGTGAAATCATAATCTAGTATTGGATACAACAGGTAAGATATTATATATATTATATCATGAAGATATAAAGTTGACTTCTTTTATCCACAATAAATTATAATTATTTCACTTCTATTGGACATGCACTTACTGACTTGAATATGAATAACTGTTTTTCAGGTTTTCAATGAAACTATAGTACATATTAGAAATCAGCTTTGCAAATAATACATATAAGGCTTAACTACTTATGACAAAACAAACACCCTGGCAAACAAAGCTTAAATTAAAAAAATCAACTTAAACGCATACTTGGTCGTTACTACTCTCAAATGGATTTCAGATTAGTTTTTAAATCCACATCACGCATAGAAATTTTTTCTTTAGTAGGGAAAATGGGGAGGAGACGTGTAAAGATAGACAAGCCAAGAACAATAAGGTGTGGAGACTGTAAGGCTTCCTATATTGGCAAAACCAAACGCCATTTAAAAGTCAGTACCAATAAGCTGTTCGGGACTGACAGAAAGCATAACCAGATCCTATATAAAGCTTACATTTTTGGGACTCAAATAAAGAAAAATTCCAAACTGACCACCTTATGTAGTGAATTACTTTCCACAAGTTCGTGAAATAAAGTATTCGTTAGATTTACAGAAGCTAACAATGTGATAATTTGTTGACTTAATTTCAATTTTGCTACACAGGCTAGTGTAATTCAGTTATAATAAACCATAGAAAAAGGTTCTATTTTTGATATAATGTATTCACACTTCTCAGTGCAAACTGCTGTATTGAGGTAACTCAATTCAATCATGACTAGTGTAAACTGCTGTATTGAAGTAACTCAATCCATGCATGATTAGTGTAAACTGCTGTATTGAGGCAACTCAGTTCACTCATGAGTAGTGCAAACTGTTATATTGAAGTAACTCAATTCAATCATGACTAGTGCAAACCGCTGTATTGAAGTAACTCAATCCACGCATGACTAGTACAAACTTTTGTACTGAGGTAACTCAATCCACGCATGACTAGTGCAAACGTTTGTATTGAAGTAACTCACTTCAATCATGACTAGTGCGAACTGCTGTATTGAAGTAACTCAATCCACGCATGACTATTGTAAACTTTTTTATTGAAGTAACTCAATTCACTGATGATGCAAACTCTTGTAATGAGGTAATTGTATCCACGTATGACTATTGTAAACTGCTGTACTGAGGTAACTCAATTCACGCACAACTAGTGCAAACTGATGTATTGAGGTAACTCACTTCAATCACGACTAGTGCGAACTGCTGTATTGAAGTAACTCAATCCACGCATGACTAGTGCAAACTTTTGTATTGAAGTAACTCAAGTCACAAATGACTAGTGCAAACTGTCGTATTGTGGTAACTGTATCCACGTATGACTATTGTAAACTGCTGTACTGAGGTAACTCAATTCACAAATGACTA